TTTTAAATGTTTCTTACGTTACAGATGTATCGGTATTATACAACAAAGCAAATTTCAGATTTCAGTAATGATAGTAATATGCTAAGGGCAATTCCTCTAAAGGTTTAATTATGGTTATAGTGTAAACCTAATTTCGTGATCTATATTACATCGTGCAACAAAGAATATGATCCATCACTGAGTAAACGTTTTTTGTAAGAGTGTTTTATAATTGAATTTCATGTTATTAGGTGCTTGAAATTATATAGTGGTATGGTGAAAAGCATTGGCAGTGATAATGATTACGAAATTATTTAAAGTGTTAGTTGCTGCAGGAAACAGTAAATACGCTTTTAATGCTTTAAAAATATGTTGATCTTAAAATAAATAATAAATAAATGGAAATAAAATAATCAAACAAATTCGAAATTCAAAATTCCGTCTTCCAAGTGCTCATGTTCGGTTGCAGGAATACGTTATTCAAAATTTGATTGCTCCAGCTACCGTTATTTCTTCAGAATGCGAGAAACATTCATGCATTCATGCAGATTCTTTATTATTTAGGTTTTTTTTTAATGCATGGTTATACTATTTGGTTATAAGATATTTCTCCCACTTTCCTAGCGTCTTTCGTGGTGTAGTGGTTCTGTACGCTGGGCCGGTATTCCAGAGGTCCGTGGTTTGATTCCCGGCGAAAGCGGTTGCATATTTTTCATCTTGCCTGCTTCCAAAACATACGTAATGTCTCTAAAGTAGCGCCCAAACTAAAAAGGTTTGTGGATGATGAATCTCCACATCCAGGATCTGGCGACTAGGTTTCCTAAAACCCTAGTCGCCCTTTACAAAGGGGAGTATATAAGGTATTTCTCCCACTTTCCTAGCGTCCTTCGTGGTGTAGTGGTTCTGCACGCTGGGCCGGTATTTCAAAGGTCCGTGATTCGATTCCCGGCGAAGGCGGTTGCATATTTTCCATCTTGCCTGCTTCCAAAAATTACCTGATGACTCCACATGGTGGCAAAAGTTTAAAAAGTGAATAGACGCAAAATGCTGTTTTGAAATTGATAGCCGGTTTTAGCTAATACACTTTTTTTAAAAATGTGCAAATATTTATAGTTCGAGATCTAATTTTGTAAAAGTGTTTACAAAAGTTAAACTAATACTATTTCAGATATTATTTTGATCATAAAAAATATTAAGCATAGTGCAAATCTTGCAAATTATTTACAAGATAGTTGTGTAGAAAGAAATGTTGGCAAAAGAGTCACAAGCAATAGCAAAAAGCGGAGAGATTCAGAAAATGAAAGCAGACTTATTCGAAGCATAATGTTCACACTGCAAAGCACAAATAGTTAGAGAACATATGCATTGTATATAAAGCAACCAAACACATCTTTGTTTCTTGAAACGCACTGAAAGACAGCATGAAAGTCAGTGATAGCGATGACTAACTTTCATATAGGCGTAATATAAGCTCTGGAAATATGTGAGAATATTGTATTTTTAATGGAATGTGAAATAATATTAGTGAATTTCATTAACATCCAAATGCAGGAAATTGGAGTCTGTTCAAATGCCAACCGAATTCGATAACCTGACATATTAACTTATCCCCAAAAATCAAGTTAAATATCCTGTCATGGTGACAGGGATATGCTTAAAATTCTAAAAAGGACAAATGTTAGGGGAAGAAAACTGCGCTATTTGTAGCGATATTCTACAGTTTCGAAAATAGTTCTAGCCCAAACACAGACAGTGGAACATAAAAGACGTTACATACAGTTCTGTTTGCACTGATCCTAGTCTCGGTTCTACGAGATCTGCCAACAACTTGATTCGTCTAAAGCAGGAGTTCTCAACCGGAGGAGAATTTTATAGCTTGAGGGGAGGAAAGCTTTTAGCCTGACACCACCTGCATCCTCTTATACTGGTAAAAAATTACCTAAATATAAATAAATGTATCTGCATTTTTCGAGTATCGGAAAGAAATAAGGGAATGATCTTTTACCAGTGGTGAAAGGGATGTATGGTGAAAAAACGTTGAGGGCCACTGGTGAAAAGTAACCATCTTCATATGTAACGTGTCTAGCCTACGAGAATTAATAATAAAGAAATGAGGGAATGATTTTTTACCAGTGGTGAAAGGGATGTATGTTAAAAACACGTTTCGAGCCACTGGTGTAAAGTAACCGTCTTCATATGTAACGTGTGTAGACACCAGAAGTAGTAATAAAATTGGTGACAATTAAAGAAACATGTACGTAACACAGTATCAGGAAAGTTAGTAAACTCACGAAGTTAAGCACACTACACAAAGCTAGGAGCTTTCATATATTGCATGATATGTTTTCTAAAGCTTCGAATTTTGTATTGTATAACATTTGCTTACCACCTTGGCTTTGGCTATATATAATCAATAAATATTATAAAAGAAAGTACACAGTGTGCATGCCGCTAAAACTCAGAAACGAGTACTGGTACTATTAAGGGAGTTATATGGCGTGGTAGCCTTCTATGCCCCATCCATGAAGAAGGTTCTCATTTCTACCTGAAGGGCGTGTTTTGAAAATATAATTGCTGGATGTTTCTTCCTCTAGAAAATTCTAGAACAGTCTAGAACATTTCAGAGCATTCCATAACACTACAGACTATTCCGAAACATTCTGGAATGTTGTGGAATGTTAGGGAATAGTCTGGAACATTCGGGAACATTCCAGATCATTGTGGAACATTTCAGGACACTCTTGAACGTTGTGGAATCTTCTGGAACATTGTGTACCATTCGAAGGCTTTTTTATGGGTGGGGTTACCCATTGATAAGGGTACATAATCCGTCGTGGGTTCGATCGTCAGTTTCTTATCAGTGAAGCACAGTAAGTGAATAAAAACAAGCAGTGAAGTGTGAGTAATCAAAGTGGTACAGTGACTGGATATAAATTCGAATATAAATAAATTTATTTATATATATTAAAATACATAATGTGTTCTGTGTGTGTTTCTGTGTGTGTTCTTCAATGTCATGAATATGGGTTTATATTCCAAAAGGTTCCCATGATTAACTCCAATAATTATTACTTAAATGAAAATGTTAAAATTACAAAATTGATTTTATTTTAGTTACTTAGTACATTCATCGTAGGAGGTCGCTTCATTTTATTTTAGCTAAATAGCTGTTTAACTTTATCTATACAGGAACAAACCTAATTTTACCTTATATGGAGTATACTATAATTTATTTAATTGATGTTACCTTTATGCTTAGTTTGATGTTAAAACATTTATCCCTCTATTTTTTTTTAATTCTGCGGATTGTTTCGCTGAGAGATGTGCCGCAGTATTTTATATATTTATTTTCGCCAAGAAACCAAATTATTTTGCATGCCACATAGAATTACTGCAGTCATTGACAGAAATAAAATTTGTGTCTTAGCAGTCCATAAATTATTTTTCTACTCAAACATCTTAAGTTCTATGAATAAGTTCTTAAGATCTAAGAATCTTCTGAAGTATATTTTATAACAATATATTACATATTTAATTCTAATGTAAGAGCTTTGATTATGAAACTATACTCGTACTTGCAGAATAGTTTTTCTATATATTGAAGTTAATTAAACTAAAGTTAGTAAGCTATCGTAAGATAATTAAATTACTTTAAGAAACATCTTTTACATCACAATTGCTTACGATTTCATTTTTAAAATCAACAGAGGTACTCAACTTGTTTTTCCTTGAATTCAGGTAGTACATTCATTTTCAATTAATACCGAAAATATTTTAAAAACAATGTTTTTAGATCTTTTTGCAAGCAAGAGTGAACGATGCTTTTAATAAAGAAGATTGGGAATTATTTGGCAAGAGATAACATGCATGCAACTTAAATTTAATTAAACACATAAATAAAATAAAAATAAATATATATTTATGCTCTTGTACATAACCTTTCTATGAACCCTGTTCTTGATACTTATGACGACGTCACAGATTTCTATAAACCGTCTTCAGGATATTCACGAAAATAGTATCTAGGACACTTTAATATCAGTTTTGTAGTTATTTTTTAAACTTCTATTAAAATTTAATGCAGCTTAATTTAAATTATACTAAAATGTTATTAACAATTTAAAACTGTCCGGTAATTTCATGCAGTATAATGTTGAGAAATGCGCAGAATCAAAAGGTAACTGAAGAACGAATATGCAAAGACTGAACATACGAAAAATCAGAAGGAGCATGAAACTGAACAAAACTAAGATAGGGAGACAAAAATAGTTCAGGCTACAAATATTAGTCTCTAATTCTGTTGTCTGGAGAAAATTAAACACCAGTTTTCAAATGACATTAAAAAAGTAATTTTGAAAGTTTTTTCAGTCTTTCGTTATATCTTGTAAATGGTTTATTACTCTATTCCTTTCTACTAAAAATCTGTATATATAACAAGAACATAAAATCATGAAATTTTAATTTTTTTTTAATGATTGTAAAAAAGAGGATCAATCATCAATTCTTTTTCCACCAATAAGCTAAAAAATAATTCTTTTTTTTTTCAGTTGCAGATGTAAAATGAATATCTAATTTAGAATTTAGCAGAAGTTATGCCTCGTATTAACTCAGATTTATTATTCCTGTCTGTTTCTATTATGAATCTATTTACAACCACTTATTTTTTACTTACAGGCAGTCCGAAAGAGAAAGCTTGATGCTATATTTATTATTCCTTGCAGACTTTTAAAATATTATTTCTGAGATGTTTTAAATTATGTGATTATTTTATAATTATTTCTCTTCATCATGTCAACTAAACCCAAGGAAATTTATTTTAACTTTTTTCTCCTGAAAATAAACGGTTTATTTAAAGACAAATATAATTTAATTTCTAATATGTGGTGATTATTCTAGCACTTCTTAAAGCTTAATAAACATACACGCAAGCTTAAAACTTACGAAATAAATTTATATAAATCAATCACATGCTTCAAGTACGTTAATATGATATATCTTTTTGATGAAAGGGGAGTACTTACCCTATATTCACAAGACTGTTCTATCGTTTCTTCCTGTCCATATCTGAAATAAATGAAACGAAAATCTTACACACATTCAAAAAATTATTTCACAATTCAAAGAATAATTAAAAGGTGAAATGAAGTGTATCCTCTCTCAACATTAGAAAAAAAAAGATATTTTTAGTTATATTTCCATATAATATTCAAATGTTCAAACGTACTTCATATAAGAACCAACACAATAAATATTCCAATAAATACGTTCATTGTCTAAGTTCTAATACGAAAGATATACGAATAAGAGAAGTAATTCATACAAGTTCAGATTAAAAGAGTTAAAAACATTAAAAGAGTTTTAAAGTTTATACTTAGAAGGCTAGTCGAATATACAAAAACCATTGCCAACAGTATGAAACATATTTTTTTTCTTTCTGGGAGGTAACCGAAATAAGGTACGTCCACCATTTGATTTTTTGACAGAAGCAAGTTTTTAAAAGAATGGTAAGATGTTAACTCATGGACGATATTTCTAAAATTTAAAGCTAAGGAACTTCACTTTACCATTTCATGTCACGCTGAATTTGTTTTAATATTTAAGCTGTTGTTAGAATCAAATAAAATTAATAGCTGCTCTGTTAGTGTTCAAATATATGTGAATGTTAAAAGCGCTTTTGCACAAACCTTACAGTTTGAGGACAGCGACTTTTAATGTTATTCTTGAAATTTGTTTTTATATCTATCATTCAAATGATACATTAAAATATTTTAAAACAGTTTATGTAATAATCTTATACGTTATGTATCTTGTTAATATACTAAATTAATTAAGTAAATGTTCTTTATAAATAAAATACGTAAGCGTTTTGTAAACGAAACACTTAAAATGAATTTGAATATCATTCAATGAGTAACTTTTCTAAGCCCTCATCGATAAAATTTTAATTTATTAAAGATATGTTACTTTACATAACAACTATGAAGATTATGCTTTCTAAAATACAGTTTCTATTTTAAAAAAACTTAGATATATTTGTATATTTTAATTTATTTTAAGTGTTCTAAAATATAAAGCACATCTTTACCATACAAAAAGCAGTGCAATCAATGTTTAACACATACGGGACATATAATCTACTGTGCAAATCTTAAGCAACAAATTTATTTTTCAACATACAATTATGAAATTTTTGAAAAGGGCTTTATGCAGTCAGTACAATGGAACGTCAACTCAGTAGGAAGGAGATGCATATGAAATTATCAACAACATACCGTCAGAGGGTTAGTCAGGGCACTCAAAATGAGAGAAGATAGCGCACGCAGTGCAGGGCAAATTCAGATAGAAAAAAGGAATGCACAATTTCCATGCATTCTTCTGCAGGTGAAAGTGAGATTGTACTTGCAGTATGGCTATAAGAAAACATCAGGATGCCTCTTACAAGCGGTAGAATTATTGACAAACATAAGGAAGGGCGTAGTTTGACGCAATTTAAACTATTATTACGCAATTAAATAACTTCGCAATTTAAAAACATCGTCATCGAAAATATCGTGGTAAAAAATAAAGTATCTACAAATCATCGCTTGACGATAACATCGCAGACATGCTCTTTTCATACATGCTTTTCGCAAATATGCGTTAATAACTGTAAATGGATATTCCCATAATGATTTGTGAGCGCAAAATGGAAAGAAGGATAATTTTTAATTTCAAATTTTTTTATTAACTAATAATTTTTTTCTGAAAAAGTAAGAAGGAAACTTAAGCATAGCAAATTAATGCAACTTATAGCAATTAATAGAATTTTAAACCGACATAGTTAACTAACAAAGGCCATTAATAAAAATTTTTTTATAAAGTTTTTACTGGTAATTTTTCGTGAAAAGTAATCTATATGTTGCATTTAATTTTCTATGCTTAAGCTTCCTTCTTACTTTTTCAGAAAACATTTATTAGTTAATAAAAAATGTGAAAGTAAAAATTATCCTTCTTTACATTTTGCGCTCACAAATCTTTATGGGAATATTCATTTACAGTTATTAAAGCATGTATGGAAAAAGCATGTCTGCGATGTTATCGTCATGCGATGATTTGTAGATACTTTATTTTTTACCACGATATTTTCGACGACGATGTTTTTCAACTGCGAAGTTTTTGAACCGCTTTATTTTCGACGACGATGTTTTGTACCACGATGTTTTAGGACTGCGATGTTTTTCTCTTTGCGATGATTTCTCCCACGATGTTTTGTAGCACGATGTTTTCGCCTTGCGTTGTTTTCTCCTCGACGTTTTCGTCCGCGATGTTTTTGCCGCGATGTTATCGCGGACACCATTCACCCGCTGTCCTAAATGCTATATATTAATAATAGCAGTCATCCGGCGGCACCATTTACCGGTGTGTAGAGAATACAAACACAGAACACCTCATCAATGCACTCAAGTCCTCTTCACCGATAAGAGTCGTTTCAGTCTGATAAACTATTCTAGTGAGCGGTTGATATGGAGAAGGAAGGGACTTGCTTTCGTACCACGAACAATCAGGAAACGAGACCGTTGGGATATTCCCGGCGTATTTCCAGGGGAAGACGTTATAACGGACTGGCGGAGCTCTACATTTTTGACAGAATTTCATTTACCGTAAATAGTTACTGAAATCAAGATAATCTCTCCCACCTGCGTCGTTTCCGGCTTGAAATTAGTCTCAACTTCGATGACGATGCACAACCAAAAATAACTCCTAACTAATAACCAAGAATATTAGTAAGAAGCTCTTGAAAAGTGAAGATATCACAGAAGAGATTGGTCAACATTCATTCGGTTCTGATTTAAACCGCTTTGAACATGTGTGAGATAACTTAGAGAGAAGCCTGGCGGCACGATCTTACCGTCTGGAGAAAATAGCAGACAACATCACTAAATGCTGTTTGAAGAATGAGAAATCCTACCTCAAGGACTGTTAGCTGTTAGATAGTCTGGTGTTTGTTATCGACAGATGGTGCAACAAAACCTTTTCAGTTACCTACGTTATGTAGCTCACTAATGCTCTTTGGTTTGTTGTTTTCTCATTTCACCAAACCGCTTTGTGTATCAGCGTTTTCTATGCGAAAAGAGAAGCGGAATTTCTTCTTCAACGCGCTTCATCAACATCACTGAACATGGTAACTTGATGTGGTTTTACGTTTTAACCAATAAATGTAACTAGCGCTGCAGTACTTTTCCCGTGTGATAGTTGAATGAAATCCTACCCTAAGAAAACATACTTGAAGCCATTACTTCTCTTAGGCAAATAGCCTTAATGTGTCCTATCATAATCCAAGAAATTCAAATTCAGAATATTAATTTCTAACACTGAAAATGAAAAGGATAATTAAAACACCGTTCAGCGCATTCTGAAACATTTCATTATGAGTTGTGAGCTATTTTGTTTTCTGAAGAATGATGTACAAATTGTAATCTTTAAAGTACCGAAAAGAACAAATAACTACTTCAATGATTCTAAATGCAATAGATATAAAAAATGAATATAAAATTAATTTTAAAACTGAGAAGTTTAAAAGAGTGGAATATATTTATGTTAAATTAAAATAACAAAACTTCAAGCCAGAGAATGCAAAAAAGAACACAGTGATTTGTTCATAAAAGTACGTATTAAACACATGAGATACCTTAAGTTGTACTGTTTTGAAAAGCAGGCATTAGTTGTTAAATTAATTAAAATGAAAAAAACCTAATCTAACTAAAAGAAAAATCTTGCAGAGTATATAGAAAGACAAATATAAAAAAAATATGCCTTTCAAAAAAATTTTAATTATTTCTTATTTAAATTGAGCAGATTTGAAGTTAAAAGATACTGATGTCTTTATTGAGACGTCATTTATTATTACAAAGTGTAGGGTTTAATGATTAGAAATCTTTCTCTTAGTTTTAAAATTCGTTAATACAGTTTACCTTGTTAATTTTCATTTAAATAAGCAGTTCCTACGCTTATTTAAATGAACGTTTAGCATACATATGATTAATAACGTAATACATCAAATGTAGAGATTTTCCTAACACGCTCGTGGATACTTTATTCTCAATTTATAACAGCTTCAAAGATTACTAAATGTACTCAGAATACTTCTATTTACGATGCCATAAATTTATTTCCATCAACAAGATCCTTCGTAAGATTACATGCTTGCGTTTCTTAATTTTAAACTGAAAAAATGCTGGGCTTCAGTTTATTACTGATTTATAAGTTAAATGGACAAATGTTTATGAATTTATTCATTATGGAATTTATTCATTATGGAATTTATTCATTATTCGAATAGAAAATTTCGAAGTTAATTTACAAGCATTTTAATTCTAATTATTTATACGTGGGCAATACAGGTAACCTAAATTCCCAATATATATGTACCAAAATTGTCTTTATGCTAGTCATCGCATATATATTTTTGTTTATATCTGCAGATACTTTAATTTACGGATATATACGAACATTAACACAAACTGTGCTTTGAAATACGTTATATGAATGAACATTTCTCAAACGATTGAACTTAGATTTACAGTTCTATTTAAAAAATATATATATATAGTTTGCCTTTATACGACAATTTTGGCTACATAATATCATTATATATAGCACTTAAGTTTAAATTTACATATACATTATCTAGTTTTTTTAACAGTTAAATCATTTCTTAACTTTCGGAACAATATTTTCTTAAAACTCCAACTAGCGATAATAATGTACAAAATTGGCCCTGAAATAAAGTTTTCATATTACTGCATTTAAGCCAGTTTTAGTTTCAGTGAATATTTTTTTAAAGACTTGAAAATATAGAGTTGGCAAAGCATGCAAAGTAAAGCATAAAATGTTTTTTTTTTTGGGGGGGGGTTATATACCATTTCTATTAGTGCAAAATGCAAATCTTACTTGTGCTTGGTATTGCTAACGTAAAATGCTAAAAAAAATTACTATAAAATTTTTAGTCAAAAACCTTTCATGCATAGTTATGTGTAGTAATATGTGATTCTCTTTGAAGTTGCTACTGTGTACAGCACACGATT